TGTTGTTACCCCAGTTGGGAAACATCGGGTAGAACGGTTTCCATTCGCTATCAAGATCGGAAGGAGCAATGCCACCACCGCCGTAGAAGCACGGACCTCCAGGGAACCCCAGAGGGAAGAAACCCCAGGAGCAGTAGTACATGTCGGTCCCAGGGACGACAGGGGGCGGGGAAGATAACTCGGTGGCGAGAAACGGCTGGCGGCAAGTGGAGCAGCGAAGGGAGAGGTTCAGGTACTCCCCGGCGAACATGTGCACGTTGCAGCAGGTGGGGCATTTCGTCCAGAAGGGTTCAGCGGTGACTGGGGACGGAGAGGGGGAAGGCTTGGAGGCGGCTGCGGCGGCGGCAGCGGCAGCAATGCGAATCTCGGCGTCGAAGAGGCTCTTCTTGTCAGGGTTGGAGAGGACGGCGAAGGCGTCGGCTACGAGTCTGAACGCGGCGTCGGCGCCAGGAGACCTGTTGCGGTCGTGGTGGAGAAGGAGAGCAAGGCGGCGGTACTGACGCCTGATGTCCGCGGCATCGGAGCCATCGGAGGAGGCAGAGGGGGGCAGGAGCTGGAGGACGGCGTACCAGTCGACGTGGTTGTTGATGCGGCGCTGGCCGGCCAGGAGAACGTCGGCGACGGCGAGGACCTGATCGACGCCGTCGAGGAGGGGCTCCGCCTCCATGGCGCGCTCCGCGAACCGCTTGCTACCGACGAGGTCCCGAGCACCGAGAAGCCTCTCGGCGATCTCTAGCCACCGCGAACCGCTTCCTCCTCTTCCGCCGCCGTGGCCGTCGATGCCCATTTGCGAACTCCAAGCGATCTCCGGTGGCGGTGGTGGTGGTGCTGAACTGCCGAACACAGGACCGGCGCTATAGAGCTTTACGGCGAGAAGCCAATTTGTTAGGGTCTATTTTGTCTTTTTAAACCCGACGGATCGGGTGTTGAATCTACTGTATAATGGAAATACTTGACCATCTCAAAAGATGCCACGTCATAAATGATCGACGGGCCCCGCTGGTTGGACCGTAGAATCGAATTCACCGGTCACGAGGAGTAACTATTGACATCATTTCGTGGACGACGATCACCATCTGATCCTTCTGCGACGGGACTTCCAACGTTCCGACTCCCGACGTCACTTGTCACCTTGTGTGCTTTTCTTCGTGGATCGGGTATTCGATTTGCGGGTCGGGTATGAAATTTCTAGTTCTTCGGAATATGATGGTTGCTTCTTCCTCACTATCTTTGGAAAAAGATAAATTTAAAACTTAAAACAAGGTAAATCCGAATTAATTATTTTTATATTATTTTTATCCTCTCTAATTAATATTCCAATATCTTTCTCATCAATATTTAGAGATAAATGATATATTTATAAAATAATTAAAATTTAATATTTAAGATTTTCCTTTTTTTTAGGTAGAAGTCTTTTTATACTTGAATTTTATTTGCTTTTGTTGAAAACATTACAGACAATAATAAAACAAAAAAAAACACTTATTGATCCTAATATTATATAAAACAGATAAGTATTCTGAGGTAAAGGATTTCTAAACAGTGTGGGGGAAAGAGAGTATCCCAAAATCTATTTTTGATCCCAAAATCTATTACATTGTTACATCTATTGTTATTAATCTTCTAGTTATATATAGCTTTATTTGAGTTAAGTCATTAATCAAAATATTATCGAGCTTTAACATAATACATATGAGGTATAATTTGACGGCTCTAATATCAAATATCATTATTTTAATTTGATAGACTAACTAATATCAAAATATTTTAATTTTATTTGATCTAAATTATTAAAATTAATAATTATATTTTATAATTTAATTTTAACAATTAGGATGTTTCAATAAATTTATATTTTATATATACAAGAAATTTATCCAAAAAGATTGAATGGAAGAAACTCATGATTTTTTTTTCTCGAAAGTATGAAAATGAATGAACTCATGAACTAAAGATCCTATTGTAGTTGATTGTGACTTCATAGATCCACAACAAAAGACAGAGACATAGAAACACTTGTTAGCCTTAATTATACAGTGTATGGGGCCAAGAAAGCCTTTTTAGCTAGAAACAAATATCAAATCCATCAGTCAAAGACTTGCCGAAATCATGGACTGAGTAGTTGTACTCCCGGGAGAAAAAGGGATGAGCATTTGTCCTGTGATCATCTCTCCAGAATTGCCTTCAGGAATCAGATGAAATGATTGCTTGGTCTCGTAACACTGCTCTATGAGACAAGCTTACAGCATAATGATCACAGAATTTGCAGTGGAGAACCCACCCAACAGCACTCATCATCAAGCTCTGCTCCATTGTCTCGGTGGTGGCGAGTGAGGGAATCACCAGCAATTGCCTCCCAGCCATCCTACATATTCCTCCACATCCTTTGACTACCTTTTTGGATTCAAAGGAAGCTGAGCCGCGTTTGAAATCACCCATGTTGGATGTTGCTACGATGATTGCTTGGTTGACTTCTTTTTCCTCTGATAGAGAACTGATTCATCCTCCCTATCGACTGTGCAGATTCATCATTCACTGAACTGGCTAGCCTCTAAATTTATCGGAGTAGTAGCCATCAAGAAGTGATGTTCATATATGATTAGAGTGCCACCATTGCTGTGTTTCAGGTTCATCAAGTTGACTTTCTGGTCAATTCAGATGCATTGGTCAACAAGTACTGGAGCTTTGATCATGATGTCCATCGATTGCCAAGCCTAGTTGAGAAGTCAACCCGTGGATGCCATCAAGTAACACCGACTTGATCATTGCTCTGAAAAGGAGTGTTGCGTGCAGAGATCTGCTGCTTCTCTCCCCCCAGAGAATGATCCCCAGTCTTCTGCCTTCATCATCTTTGTCAACTGCACTTCTTCCTCAGGTCGTAAGCAGCAGTGATAGATTGCCTAAGCCTTTTTATCGCATCCCGGATTAAATTAAGGTCTTCTCCGACCAAGATTCTCAAATAGAATTAGTTCTGAAAGTTTCAGCTCAACTCCAAACTCATTAGAATTCTGCAATAGAGATGATGTAACTATGTGTGCACTATTCTGCAATTAACATTCTGATATCCATGAGAGAGAGAGAGAGAGAGAGATCAAAAAAGCATTTTTAATTTGGAGCCCTTTAATCACCTTCTTCGATCCACCAATTCACATTCTTTTTGCTTCCATAACAAATGAACTGTTCACAATCACTCAGAACTTTAATCAGTAAGATCAAGTTCTTTCTCATACAGATGTTGAGAGAGAGGCATTTAGTTTGTTCAGAAATCCTAGAACAGATGGTGAGCTGATGCTTTTGAAGCTCAGAATCATGATTTATTGTCTTACAAGTCTGATTTGTAGAAACACTTGTGCAAGAACAAAAAAAACAAAAGGAATGGAAGATCATTGACTGACAACTTCGATCACCAAACCTTGTTTTTATAATCAAACCATATCCTTGTGGTGTGTTGGCTGACAGATCTCAGAATAGAATCCTCCCCAACCACCTAAATGAAGAAATCAGATATCAAACTCCAACTTATCCCCTCGTTAATCATCTCAGATCTCATAACTCACTTTGGACAGTAGCAGACAAGATGGTCCTCAAGGAAGAGAACAAACCACTCCCTTACATTATTGCCCATGAACTGTCCTCGACCTGCACATGATCACCTTAGAAAACAACATCTACATCACAGTGACAGAGAAATGCCAAATTGACGATGGACCAGAAGTATTGAATCACCCAACTGCTAGTGGAACTCCACACCACCTTCCCCCTTGTGCTGTAATATTCCCACAGTAGTCTCCCCTCTCCATTATTAAATGCACTCACTTCCACTCTTGTGAAAGACCCAAACTCTTTATCATTCTTACCACCCACTACTTAATTATGTGGTACCCTCAACATCAGAATATGTCAACCCTTGTGGTACCATGAATCTTTTGAACTCTTTTGCCCCATTTGGTAGAAGGATTCAAATCCCAAAGTTTCTTCACATATTCAAAACAATAATTAAATTTGGAGGAAAAACATACAAAAATTTGCCCCCAAAAGCAGTGGAAAATATTGTTACTAGGGAACTTTATAATGGTCCGGCGGAAGAGCATACCGCTCTCTATAAATACGTGCGCGCCGGCTACAAAATCCAACGAGCTGAAAAGAATTTAATTCGCTTAACCACCGCTACGGCTACAAAGACACGACGCTCCGGCGGAACTCCTTAACTAAACAGATCCTTTTAGTAAACCACCACTCTTATGCGGCCACGTTTCTCCACCCTCGTTCACCCAATAGCTTATCCGGACGACAGTTTGTGAAGGGGGAGCATCGAAAACATGCTGGTGAACAGTCACGCGTGTCGACGTCTCCGATTACTGCGCCGTCGTCTGTTTCGGCCCTCCGTGGACGCGATCCCCGCTACGCAGCGTCGTTCGAGGAATTCTTTTTCGACCCTTTTTCTCTACCCGTATCGATAGCCGTTCTGGTGATTAACGCAAACGTCGGTCCGTTTTGGACCCACATCACAGAGAGATCGCGCGGGTAGATTTTTACGGGGTGCGGAAAGCATTCCTGCTGTTGTTTTCGTACTTTTAACGGGTACCAGCTTTTACTTAGAAAGAGATCCGGTCACCTGCGGCGAGGAGGTGAGCGTAACTGCGTAAGTATTTACACATGATGGGATCCTATGTGCCACCAGCATCTCTACGTATACGGTACATGTCATGCTCCTTTATGGCCATCACGTTCTCCATGATGGCACGCATGATGTAGCGGAAGCTCTTTTGTTTTGGAGAATGCATGACATGAAAACTATGTCATGCCCAAATGTCTATTTTGTAGTTCATAAAAAGGCACATTGATAGACACACTAATGTCCATAGTTTTGAGTAGCGTAAGACCACAGGGAGTTGCATTTGTATGGGCACAAGTTGTTCACCGGCGGTGTTGGAACCTTATTATTTCTTTCCTTAAACACCCATTCGTTACCACAATTTTACAGTAACCTATCCAGCTTTACTGCTGGGCTCCAAGTAGGGAGCGATACAAAAGGCAGAGAAGCAAACCTCCGAGGGAGAGAGAGAGAGAGAGTGTGTGTGTGTGTGAGAGTTATGAGGACGCCATTGGCGATCTAGGGTTTGAAAATCGTTCCTCTTTTCCTCTTCTTCCTGGATCTCCGAGCTAAGACTGAAGTAAAAGATGGGTATTTGCTACGGGAAGCTCGCTTCGCCGGAGAACCATGACCCATCGTTGTCTCCGACGCCCAAGAAGAAGGAAGAAGTGTCGACAAAGAAGGAAGGTGAGGGGGAGCCGGGGGTGACGGTTGCGGAGGAGAGGACATCTAAGCCCTGGACCTCCCCTTTCTTCCCTTTCTATAGCCCCAGTCCTGCCCACAGCCTCTTCTCCAAGAAATCCCCCTCCGTCGCCTCTGAAGGTGGTGGGTCGGCTACGGCCACTCCGAGGAGGTTCTTCAAGAGACCGTTCCCGCCGCCGTCTCCGGCGAAGCACATCCGGGCCCTCCTCGCCCGGCGGCATGGGTCGGTGAAGCCAAACGAGGCGGCCATTCCCGAGGACGAGGGGGAGGAGGGGCGTGCAGTGGCCGGGCTGGATAAGAGCTTCGGGTTCTCTAAGGGGTTCACGAGCAAGTATGAGATCGGTGAGGAGGTTGGGCGTGGGCATTTTGGGTATACGTGCACCGCCAAGCTCAAGAAGGGCGAGAGCAACGGGCAGCAGGTGGCGGTCAAGGTCATCCCGAAGGCTAAGGTGCAGCAAAAATCTATTCTTTTTGCAAGATTTCCCCTACTTTGTCGCTTCGTACTTGCCAACTTTGCTTCGTTGATGTTTTCTTGTGGACAGTTCCGTTGACAGTCAGATCCGACGACTAATTTTAGTCAAAGTAATGCATCATTAGCTGCTTAAAATTTGTTGGTAATGCTGTGTCTTGTAGCATGCTGCTGGATAAGTGGTTTGCTCCACAGCATATCAATTTTGTTAGTATTGCTAGTTTCTCTTTTTCCCTTCTAAAAGTACTGGTGGATGCCATCAAATACTGATTTTTGAAACAATTGATATGGGATGTGCTCTGTTTCTTTAAAAAAGATTGCAACTTCTTGGGCAAAGACAAAGATACCCTCCCAGGCGCTAAGGAAGCATAATTTTGTTAATGGTCCATTGTGATTGATAATTATTGTTGTTGTTATCGAGAAGTGAATGACTACTTGAAGCTCAAAACAGTAACTTGTCATGTAGCTTTGATGCCCAGTCGTGTGTGAATGTTTATGGGCTGGAATCAAGAAAGTTATTGGATTTTCCTTGGGTTTCACTAGATTGGGATGTTCTAGATTTAGCATGAAGGGAGATCAGTGTTTATTTATGATGGTTGCCAATTGAGTAGCAGGGCTTCATGAATTGTATTCTTTCCAGGATCTTGGACAACTCAAACCGCTTGACCTTTTGGTGAAAAGAAACCTGAAATTATAGATAAAATGTTTATGTTTACTGATATACTCCCTATATTTCTTCTTCCATGGAAAATGTGGACACTTTAGTTAATGTTGCACTGCCACATTGACTTGATTAGTGTGGCTATAAATATATTTATTGATTCTACACAGAAAGATGCCCTAGCATTTTATTCGATGCGGTGCATCTGAATCATACATTTTCAAGTAGGATCTTTATGATTTTAAAGTTGCTGAACTTGTTCCATACTTCATTTAGTTGATAATTAGTATTGAACTGGATAGGGGACCTGAAGTATACTATTTTCTAGGCCGGTCATGCTTATTTTGTTGTCTTATGTGCACCTGCAGTCTTGTTTGCTTGACTGATAAAATTTGGTAAGGACTAGTTCAAAACTGATTCTTGATGTTAAATATTTTCTATATGCATGTAAATCAACAAAAGCCCAATTTGTAGTTTACAAAATCCAATCAATAGCTTAGGCTTTGCTGTAACTTCCATTAAAGCAAAACTATATGGTTCAGTTGCCCCTTTTAGGTTGCTCTCTTTTACGTTGTCACTAAGTTGTATTGTTAATTTCAAATGCAGTAAACATAATGCCATCTTAGCATAAATGTATTGTTCATTATTAATCATAGTTGGAAGTAAAATAACATTTTGGCGCTTTGCACAAAACTGAGGCCTTATTACTTTATTCAGGTGCATTTCTAGTTTTATAATTTCCTTCTTTGACATCTTTTATTTCTTTCTTCATACTTGTCGTGGATATTTTTTATCACTGTTAGTCTGCATGTGATGCACTTCTGGTTGTAAATCAGACAGTGCAGCTTGCTGGCCTCTTTGCTTTGTTGTAACAAAATTTTTCTATATTTGGACTTCATTTTAGCACTTTACTTTTGACAGATGACTACTGCCATAGCTATTGAGGATGTCAGAAGAGAGGTGAAGATTTTAAGAGCCTTGACAGGGCATAACAACCTAGTCCATTTTTATGATGCCTATGAAGATAATGACAATGTTTACATAATAATGGAGTAAGCTATTAGTACATTAATATTACAGTTTATTGTTATCTATCAAGTGCATGTTATTTTCTGCTGGTATATAGTGATTGCTATTTTAATATTTGTTATTAATGTGAATATGATCACAAGTGGTGAACCAGTCAGTTTGAATCTTGTTTCCTTTTTCAAAAGTAGATAGTTCCAAGATTTTCTATATTTTATTCATATGCAGTTTCTGAATTCAATGTGATCTTCAGCTTGATCCCTATTTGCATATACATGTTGGAAATCCCAAAATGCATATGCTATCCATCTTTTGTTAAATATTAATAAGAAAATTTCTGTTGTGAAGCAAGTAATCAGATATGGATGCTGATACAATAGGTTTGGATATGTTGATATGTCAAACCTTTAAAAAAGGGACACAATGATGCATGGATATGGTGATAGTTTTTTTAAATATATGATCTTGTATATGTGGCAGTTTGATATTCATTAATAATGCTAGAATGGAGTCACATATTATGTAAATAATAACATTAGCATCCCTAAACTCTCTTCACGAATAGAAAAAAATCATATAAGAGATAGCAAAATGTTATGATAAATGAAGTAAGGCCATAATTTTATTTAATCATTTTCTAATGCTTTATACAAATAATATGTAAATATCTATCATCTGTATCGTAAGCAAAAAATCAATATTTTAGACATTCAAAGTTTCCTCCAGAGGAATTTACAAAGTACTCCCTCTAAATCAACAAACTGGATACTTTAAGGAAGTATTTACTATTTAATATTTTTCTATAATGTGATATGTTCAACACATGTGACAAGCAAGTGGAACTGTCCATTTTTGTGGATTCTTCTTGAACTCACATTAAAATATACAAAAACCTAATAAAAGTTTAAAGGTACCCACTGGTATGTTGATGCTATAATAGTATTTTGGAACTATGCTTTTACTGTGGTTTGATGCTCCTTTATTGGTTAATTTCAGCATCATAGTATCATAGTACGTTTTTGAAGACTAAAATTATTTAGCAATTGTTTCTCACTCTTCTTGCACAAGAATTTCTTGTTAAATTTTTCTCTCTAGCAGCACGATTTGTTAAAATTGAGGGTTGAAATTGAGGTCTGTTGGATTAAAAATGTATTCTTTCTTTAGGTTCTTGTTGGTGCTGCCCCTAGTTTCTCATAGACGTTCTCCTTTGCTCGTATTCTGCACCATGTTGATCTGTAGTAGTATTGTTTGGTTGGACAAGCATGTGACATATAAATGCCATCTTTAAATGTAATTATAACCATTAAATTATTACTGATTAAGGATCTTGGTGGCTTACCTATCTTATTTCAGGTTATGCGAAGGAGGAGAGCTGCTAGATAGAATTCTTTCGAGGTACTTTATGGGCCAGTTTGATTTAAAATATTCCTATATCCACATATTTGCTATTTGTTTGTAGATGTATTGTTTTCGGCTTTGCCTCAGATCTTATGATAGCTTATGTATATGCCTTCTTTATCGAGAAGGGGTGGAAAATACTCGGAAGATGATGCAAAGGCTGTCATGGTACAGATACTGAATGTTGTTGCATTCTGCCATCTCCAAGGAGTGGTTCACCGTGATCTTAAACCGGAGGTAATGAGTCAGGGAAATCTTATGGCCTTTGATGGTGATTTTTAGGTAGATTATTATATGATTATATTGTCGATGGACATTATACTTGAAGGCACAGGACTTTTTGGATCTTATTATGAGTCTCAGATCTGCTCTGTGTTAGCTTTCTGTGGAACTGTAATAATGTTCTTTTTAGGGTTAGGGATGTGTGGTTATTGATTAAAGGAACATGAATTAGATGGTTAACAAGCACTTTTTCTGTGTACCCTAGTAATAATGTACTTCATGTCTTTTTTTTTTTTTGTCTCTACGACTTGAAACTTCTGTCTGTAGTTGTTTAAGTTTGCAGCATTTCTAGTTTAACTAGCCATGACTTTTTTTTTTTTGACCTTGCATGAAGGTTAATAAATTTCTCACCTTTCTTAATATTATGGCCAGTTAGGAGATCTTCTTTCCATTTATTTTGATGTATTGTTGTATTTTCTTGATAATGTGTGTAACTGGAGTGACTATTGCTTCCATGGTGTCTTTGAATCATTCTTTATGAGTTTCACAGTAATCTGATGAGCTATCTTCTCAAGCTTTCTTTTTGGTAGTAAAGGTTATTGTGTTTTTATTACTTACTATTGCTTTAATGTTCATATTGCTAGTATCTGCTAACTATTTTTTTTTTCAATGCATATATATAAGTTAGTTGCAGTCTTGCAGATAGCTAGATTTGTAGATAGAAGTAATTAGCAAAGTGGTACAAGTATAGCTGCAAGAGATTACCACTATCTAGGAATAATATCCTTCAGCTTTGAATTTTGTATCCGCTAAATTTACACAGCAGAATTGGTTTCTCAATTTTGATAGCGGATTAGTTCCTTTTCAAGGTACTATTGTCTATTGCTTAAGTTGGACGATCTATACCTCTATTTTTTCCAGGTCTAGCTGAAATTTGCATCTGATTAAACTAGGGTCAAAACATTGCCTCGTGAAAGCTTGTATTGCAGGTGTCTTGGGAATAGTAAAACCAAGTTGCCTTTTTATTGTATTTATCTTCTGTGGGCATTACGAAAGGAACCTAAATTCTGTAATTACCTAATATCCTTGTCAGGCCTTTTTATTTACTTGAAGCTTCTACTTAGTTTACATATTATCTGTCTTCCTTGCTGCGATACCTGTGCTTATTTGTGGTGAGACTTAATATACACTTTCCTCACCAATTTGTTTTAATTTTTGTTTACCTGGCAGGTCTATTGAGATGTCTATTTATGGTTGTTTTATTCACCCTAAATGGTCATGGTTTATCTTTTTTTAATATTTGGCTAAATAATGTGTTTTTTAATAAATAGTGGTTGCTTTCTTTTCCTCAGAATTTTCTTTTTACTTCCAAGGATGAGAATTCCCAGCTGAAGGCTATAGATTTTGGCTTATCAGACTTTGTAAAACCAGGTTAGTTCATGTTGTCTGTTATATGTTTCCTGGCTAGCAGTTTCAATTGTTAGTTATATCTCAATTGCCCGTCTAATCTCTATATCTAGACTGTTTCTAAAAATTTGGCATTTGTGATCTTTAGATGAAAGGTTGAATGACATTGTTGGTAGTGCATATTATGTTGCACCCGAAGTTTTGCATAGATCTTACAGCACAGAAGCAGATGTGTGGAGTATTGGCGTAATTGCATATATTCTTCTATGTGGCAGTCGCCCATTTTGGGCTCGAACAGAGTCTGGTATCTTTAGGGCAGTATTAAAAGCTGATCCAAGTTTTACAGAACTTCCTTGGCCTTCTCTCTCCCCCGAGGCCAAAGATTTTGTGAAGCGCTTGTTAAGTAAGGATCCACGAAGAAGAATGACGGCTTCTCAAGCTCTATGTGAGCATCCTCATGGATTCTGTTTAATTATGTCGTTTCTCCAAAGAACTAACTGCTTCCTGTTTGCAGGTCATCCGTGGACTAGAAATTACAATGATATCAAAGTTCCACTAGATATCCTTATATTTCGACTAATTAAAGCTTATCTACGTTCGTCATCTCTCCGTAAGGCTGCTTTAAGGGTGGGTGCTATCATGAATTTCATTTATATCATTCAACTTATATGTGATTCTAAATGCATGAAGTGCTTTTTAACGACTTCAATTGCCCTGTTGCATTCAATAAAAATCCAAGTACTTGGAATTGGCTGATGTTTAGTTCCATGGTCGAATGTAGTGTGACTTCCTTTTTAAGGTTATCCAGTATACTTTCCAGTTTGAAGTTTTGTTTATTTGTGTGTTGGTTTCTAGGTAACAAGTATCCAATTTCCAGTTAACTAGATTGAAAATTATTGGTATGTATGATGATCACGATTAAGGTTTGCAATACCTGTCGTCATATTAAGCTTCAAGATAGACCCCAAATGCTAGAATTCTTAACTAAAATCTGTAAAATTGAGTTTCGGCCTCAATTGAGTGCACTGTAAATTTCAGTTTTGCTTCTATACAACTGATAATGTAAGGTATATGATTAAATCTTTTTATGAATGTTGCAGGCTTTGTCAAAGACATTGACTGTAGATGAATTATTTTATCTCAAGGGACAATTTTCTCTATTAGAGCCTAACAAAAATGGGTGCATAACTCTTGAAAATATCAAGTTGGTTAGTTTTATGTACTCATTTCTTTAGAGAAATTAACTGAAGAAGATTGGATATTTAGTTGTTCTTTTATGCTGAATTTTATTTCTTGATCAGGCCTTGATGAAAAATGCAACTGATGCAATGAAGGAATCACGCGTTCAGGAATTTCTTCTTTCGGTAATGTGCAGATCTTTTGCCTAGTGCCTTTTTTACTTATTTAACATTGAACTTATTAGTTTGTGTACTCTGTGGAAATCTGTATATTGTTTTGCCAGCTCAGTGCTCTTCAATACAGAAGAATGGATTTTGATGAGTTCTGTGCAGCTACATTAAGTGTTCATCAGCTTGAAGGTCTGGATAGATGGGAGCAACATGCCCGTTGTGCTTATGAGCTTTTTGAGAAGGACGGCAATCGGGCTATTGTAATCGAAGAACTTGCCTCGGTATGCATAATGTTCTCTTTTGCATGTGATATAGTATGAATTATCAATTGATGGATGTGTTGAGATCTTGAAGGCATTAAATAACTGTTGCAGGATTTAGTTGAAACTTGAAACCTACCTAGTCCAAAGTTGATTGAGGTGTTGAGCTGGCAGAACTTGCATTCGTTCCCATTTGGTGGTCAGTTTGCCTATGTTGGCACATCATGCTTGTCACTGACCAGCATAGGGTTGTGCCATGTAATTTAAATCTGTAGCTCTGAAATATAAGGTTTTTTGCTTATATGACCCCACATAGTTGTTTTTGTCTGCATGCATATCCATATTAACCACATATATCATGAATACATACAGAAAGCACAATGTTGCATACGCTAATAGTTGGGCAATGTTGTCATTTATCCCAAGTGGTAAGGTTTGAGAAATGAGGATGGTTGGTTTTGCTTGACGTATATTTTCGGATACCGTGTGCTAGTTGTTTTATTTTTCGAAGGTTATTTGCTTGGCTTCTGTGTTGGAGTTGGCATCCTAATCAGAAATCTCCCCTCTTTTTCATATTTTAATTGCAGGAACTAGGCCTCGGCCCTTCTGTACCTGTACATGCTGTTCTACATGATTGGATAAGGCACACTGACGGGAAGCTAAGTTTTCTAGGATTTGTAAAGCTGTTGCATGGTGTGTCTAGTCGATCAGTCCAATCCCTGGCGAAGGCACGGTAGATATTATTTATGCCTCCTGTATCCTCCCTTTGTTTGATTGACCTGCCATTAGTTTGGTTTGGATGGATGACTAGCGAGCCGTCGGGTAAGGCGCTGGTTTAGATTTAAGATTGGGCTACCAAATTGTTCTGGTGGATGTGCTTTTCAGATTGTGTGCAGATGGTAGCAGATGAATGCAAGTTAATGGGGGGAAAGGGTCCTCACCACCAAAGACTGCTGCTGCATGTTGATGTCTTACCGATCCCATAGTTGTGGAGAATCAGATCATTCCAAATCTGTTGTCCATAATCTTGTTTCACGATTCGATCATGAGTTTCAACGCTGCAGTTGGTGGCATGTTAGTACTTGGTTAACTCTTTTAAGTTTCAGTAGAATGGATCTTCTCCACCAAAGATGCTATGTGTTATCCCGCTAGCCTAGAAGGGGGGGGGGGGAAAAAGAGGTGCTGTTTCTAATATTAACTACATCTGGTTGATCTCAAATTAAATGAAAATGGTTTTCTTGTGTGCTATATATGTTTCAGATTTACTAATTTCACCTCTTTTACTCTTTCTCTTGCATTAGCTTTCTATCTATACCCTGAGAAACTAAACCTCAGGCAGTGCCGCCGAGCCGAGTTCTTATTCATTCGTGATCGATGTGTGTGTATGAACTCATTAACTTGCAGTGATTAGCCAGATTTATCAGATTGCATCTAACTGTAACTCTTGGAATGCATTGAGAGAACTTTGGAAATTTACAAGGTTTTATATGCAAATATGCATTAGTAAAGATACTTTTGGACATTTTGGATAATGCAGGAATATAGACTTATCTTGGATTGTATAGCTTTCATCTTATAAATCTCATCACATGATAGAACCATGAGGTGGTGTGTCAGATCTGGTTCTTGCATGTCTCGTATTTTTCGGATATTGGATGCCCAATTTGCAGTTTGGTTAAGTTTTTTCCTCTCTTTGTTATATGATGATGATAAGAGATCGAGCTGCCTGTAATCTCAAATGAACACGGAGAGAACTGTGCTACCACCACCACCACCATCTCGTTTAGGCAGCTCCAAGGACAGAGTTCGCCGCCGCCGGTCCATCGAGCTGTCCACCGACAAGAGAAGAAAGATGCGACGGATTTATGGTACTGCGTGATGACAGTGGGTCTCGATGCAGAGGAGACGAACGTGGTGGTGCAGATGCTGCCATGGGTATCACCTCCTCCATCGCTGACTCTTCGACGTTTCCAAGCGACAACAAGAACAAGAGCATCGCTAACTCTTAAAAGCTTTTAGATGGGACAATTCGCTTAGCAGACATCCGTCGCATATTCCTTTGAGATCCACAACAAAAGGCAGTCCAACATTTCATCTGTAAAGTTGCTTTGCGTCTCTCAATGTAATACATACCCGTGCATGCATCTCTTAATATAATGCATACCATCGTATCGAAGTTTGGGCACCACATTGGAGTGTACTGCTGGCCGCACTCAGGCGAACTGTCAGGACAACATACACCGTCTTACTATAGAGCATCCGCGCCCCCTAACAACCATAGAGGATGACAAGGAACCCATTGGTTCTATATATATATATGTATATATATGTATATATATATATATATATATATTTCATGTACTTTGCGCATGGTTTGGAACTCTAAAGTAATAGGAATAGAAACAAAACACGTGCCAAATGCCAACTCCAACTCAAGTTTGTCTCACAAAAAAGTATTTATCTATAGAGAAAGAAAATACATGTTCTAAAGAACAAAGCTGAGAAAGTGAGCTTTGGTGGGGCAGAGAATGTTAACAGTTAAGAGAAGTCATAAAATAATTGAGTTGGAAGAGCATGAGATGGGATCTGAGAGATCCTGTCAGCTGGTTGGTTCCCTGTCTCCAGGAACTTGCAACTATAAAGTTAAATGGCCGGAGCCTGATGGTCACTGTAGATCATGCCATGCACTGGAACAACATCAAATTCTAAGTTACGTGTAGTTATTTTTATAGGAATTGTACAAACATTTCACTGAACAAGTCTCCGATGCGTTCAACTCGATTCTTTGCAGTCATCAGGTGACTTGCAGGCCATGCCCATTAATTCTGTCAGATGAAGGCTTATATGCGTGCGTGAGTGCGTGTGTGTGTGTGTGTGTGTGAGAGAGAGAGAGAGAGAGAGAGAGAGAGAGAGAGAGAGAGAGAGAGATCAGCAGTTCACTGAAGTCCCGTGGTGATCAGACTTCAGTCAAAGGATCCATATGGCAATGTAGCATACAACAACAAGATTGAATCCAGTGCACACACAACATGTATGTTGGGAGGCTTACAAACATAGGTGGAGCATCGGAATCTGCTCAGGCGCGACCAAATCTAATTTACCGGTGCATAAGCTTCGAGGGTTTATATATAGATATGTGCAAAAGGAGTATTCAAGTAAGCAGAATCGTCTCTTGTGATGAGAACTGCTGGTACGTGAGACGTGCAACTCGACGTGTGCTGCGCATGCATGCATGCATGCATGCATAAAGAATGCGCGGAAACTGATACGTGGGACGTTTAAATGCCAAAACACAATAAACTCGAGCTTTCATAACCACAATCATCGATAGTGTTTCTTCAGACAACAATCGTTCGGACTGAATGAAATTGCGGTGAAACAAAAGTAATACAGTGCGATAAGGAAAAGCCAAACCTGATCTAAACGCAGATGAACACAATACAATAATTAGAAGGAGATAAATGATGATGATGATGATGATGATGATGAAACTTATATACGAAAGATGAGAAACCAAGCATCTTAAATCACACACGTTGGATCGATCGAGCCAGATTAGTGGCCCACGCCGGGGCTGTGTCCTGGGTTTGTAGGTCGAACATCGTCGTTGCCCACCAACCGTCCGCTGCCATTGCCATTCTCTTCAGAGGGTGCAATGGTGCCTTCCACCGTTCCTTTGGAACTCATGTCACTCTGTGTCCAGCATCTGCTGCACATACTGGTCTTGGTCTTGGTCTTGGTCTTGTCTTCCTTCAGAGGTCTGCCCTCAGCAGTGAAAGCCACCCCGAGGATAATGAGAATAAGAACAACACACAGCATGGACTTGCTAACAGCCATGAGGATGGGACAGTCTCAGAGAGACAACACAGAGAGGGAGCAGGAAAGATAGGGATGGAGATGGAGATTGAATATGAGATGATTCGTTTCCTCTTCCTAGCCCCTATTTATAGGTGCTCTGCAGATTCTCTTAAAACATGTTGAGCACAAAAATAAAAGCCAAAATATAAGCATGTCATTAATTAGTTTGCATGTGGCCTCTGTGACAACCTACCTATTGTATTGGTTTTGATGCTCTTCTAGCATTAGAAATTTACATTTCACAGTACATTGTTGTCACAGATGCTTGGTTATTAATTCAAGCATCCAAGAATCACATGCAGACTACAACATTTACCAGGTCGATTCATTTAAAGTGGTACTAATTCTTTGCATGTTGTCTTCATCACCTGTGAACTAGAATCAGGAAGCTCTCATTTGCTCTCCCAAGTAGCAGAGTAGGCAGTGTAGATCGAGCTTTGGAGGACCCGAAACGGAGATGGTTGGAGCCGAGAAGTCTCACCGTATACGTAGAGACTTATACCACAGTCCCAAAGACACTACGCTTTGTTCCCAGATGTGCTGCAACAAAACATGGTCCTTCTTGAAGCGAAGGAAGGTCATTGCAAGGGGGAAGAAAGAGACAGAAGAAGAAGGCTGATAACAGGTTGGCTTTGAGTTCATCGTTCACATGCTCACCGGACAGCTTAGCCTCTGAGAATATATATAGAACTAGTTTCAGTGGACGTTTCCGGTGAGATCCGAGTAAAGCCTTGCTTGACAGAACCAGCTTTCCAACCAGAACCTGGAGACTGGAGAATCTTTTATAGCTGTACTTAAAAGCAATTCCATCTTAAGGCTCCCTGGTCCAGGGAAGGTGCGGGATATTCTCTAGCTACCATTGAGACATTCTGTCGAACAGTTGCTTGCGGTAAGAGATTCCACGCGGATTCCCTTCAAGACTTGTGAAGGAGCTCGAAACCCCAAATAAAGATTCCAATATGGCAAAAGCTGGCGAAAGGAACAGGTTATCATGTAGGATGGAGGATCCGCAGCCCTGGGTAAGTGTTGTCTTCATGCAGCCTGAAGTCGTCCGATAGATTCCTCATGCACGGGGGCGACATGGCGATGGAGGCGATCACATGCGGCTTTGTCGAGTTGCGGCGGGATGTGTTCGTGCCCCAAAGACTGCGCGAAGAGCTGCACTTGGTAGAGACTTGAGAGCCTGACATAGTGCAGAGCCATGCTCGTGTCTCTGTGGGTTCTCTTCTTCCTTCGCACAGTAGAACTCGGAAGACGAAGCAAAGATTGCAGAGTGCGATGCAGCTTATCGTGGGGTTCTCGCTCGTCAACTTCGTCGCTCACTCGCTGTTCATGTCACACATTGTGACGGTGGTGTCTTAAGATACAGAATATTGCAGGATTTCGGATATGATAAGTGATGCTTCGGCTTTCGTGTGTCCACTGATAGCAGATAAGATTTCCTCAAATAATGAGAGTTCAAACATATTCTAATTTGAACAATATTAAGTGATCGTGACAGAGACCATAAAAATTTGGCCAATAGACGGGACATATTGATCTATACTTCAATGATCCTATGTTAGATAAAGAGACTAGGAGACGGGACAGTGTTTTTTATTGATCCAAAGCACATATTTATATTGATTGATTAAAAGATAAAATATATATTTTTTAAAACAATGAAAAAATCTATCATATCTTAATAAACCTTTTCATCCTAAACTATTTATTTAAATATAATTTTTTATCTTTTATTTTATTTAATACTAATTATTTGAATTAATCTTAACATACTCTCTTAATTCAAATAGTTGTAACTTGAAGTTGTTTTCGGAATAAAAATTTTCTTTTGCTAAAGCTTTTGTGAAGATATCGACAAACTAGTTTTTCGTGCTGCGTCCATCATTTTTACATCTTTAACCTTTTTCCAAATCTTCAATAGTTGCTCATTTTCACTTTCCTCAAAAGACTCATTAGAACCATTGCTAGTTTTTGATGCTTGAGACTTCTTAGCTTCTTGCTTTTTTAAATATTCATGATCATAACTTTCTTCAAAGCTGTCATCATCATCTTCATTACCGTTAATGCTCTCCATTTTGATAGTTTTCATAACATGTTTACCAATAGTAGATGGAACATAATCCGAAACTTTTCGTTTCTTGAATTGTGGCTTCTCATTGCTCTCATCAAAACTTTCATTAATTTTAGTCTTGTTCTGAGGCATCTTGTTATCAGTTTGAATTTTGTAGAATTCGTCAAGTGAGAAAGTTTATATAGACCCACCAAAATTTAGATGATGATAGCTTTTATTCCATTAATAGTAGTATGTAAGGAGAAATCCGAAGATAATAAGAGAAACACTTTATTTTTTGTCATCCTCACAATTGCTTTCAATTTTCTAATTTTCTTTTCATAAGTCAAGCATTTTTTATTATAAAAAATTATATAATATCCTTTTCTCATTAGTAATAGTAGCATGGAGAAATCCGAAAATAACAAGAAAAATTCTTTGTTTTTTGTTATCCTTAGGGTTGCTATCAATTTTCCAAGCTTCTTATCATAAATCAAACATTTTTTATCAAAAAAAATAGTATAATATTTTTTTCTCATTAGTTGTCCTATACTAATGAGATTTTAATTTAAATCAAGAATAAACATCATATCATCAATAATTTTTTTACTAGATTTAGTGTTCATGATAACTATTCCTTTTCCTTAACTTTACTATCATTTTTCATTTATACTATAGATCTGATTGAATCATCAAGCTTTTGGAATAAATTTTTATCCCCTTATCATATGATTACTGTATCCACTATCTAAAACCAAACATATCTAAAATATTCTTCATCACATGCTATAAAGAAAATATTTTTTTCATCCCTTTTTTCATCATTATTTTTCTCATGATAATTTATTTGATTTTTATTCCAACAATTTTTTTGAAGATGATCATATTATTTATAGTAAGAGCAAAGAGAAATATTTGGATTTTTATTTTTGAACCAATAATTTGTTCATTTTTTTACAATAAAAACATCGATTGGTTTTTTTGTTACCTTCAATCGAGTTCCTCTGACCCTCATTTGATCGATCATGAACTCTGTTATTTTGATCTTTCCCTTGATATTTAGTTTCTAAAATTTTCTTTTAGTCCTTATTCCGATTTATCATTTGAAGAGCATGTTCTAAAGTTTCATATGAAGATTTGTTTATTGTTTGTTTATGAACTAAAAGAGAGCTCATTAATTCATCAATATACAATGTACTTGTATTTTTAGCTTTTTCCAATAGCAACAAAAATCATATCAAATTTTGGACATAAACTTCATAAAACTTTTTCTACTATAGTTTGATCTTTTATATTTTCCTCAGATCTCGTTTGATTCATAATAAAAAATATTTTTGAGAAGAAATCAATGATAGATTCAAAAAAATTTATCATAAGAGTTTTGAATTCATATCGAAGAATTTGAAGTTTTAAACATTTTATTTTGTCTGCGCCTCTAAACATAATTTTTAATATTTTCTAAGCTTCTGTTGATGTTGATACTGTAGAAAAATAAAAGCTCAACTATTGCTTGTTATAACATATAGGGGGCTCTTGCATCTTTCTGTATATTCTCACTCATCTAATATTTTTTATCTTTAATAGGATCTTATAGATCATACTGAAAAAAAAAAACTTTTACCAAATTTCATAATCCATATAAAATAAATAAAAATTTTATTTTAATAACCTAAAATTAATAATTTTCACTTTTGAAGATAAGAAACAGTAGATTAGGGACACTTACTCCAATGTATGCTATCTTTTTTTTTTTTTTTTTTTTTTGGATCTACTAGTCTTCCCTCATTTGTAATCGATGTATTCCTATTAATATTTTAGATTGATTCAAGAACACCTATTTATATTGATTAAAAATATATAATATAAATTTTTTTAAATAATAAAAAAAATTTATTTTATCTTAACATTTTTTCATCCTAATCTATTTATTTAAATCTATTTTTATTTTATTTTATCTAATCTTAATTATTTGAATTAATCTTAACCAGTGACTCTAAAAGAGTAATGGTTACTAATCAGCAAACAATGAACTCAAATACACTTTGAACCAAACAAAACCTTAGAAAGTGCACAAAGCATCCCACAAAGTCCAGATAGAAACACTAGATTCTCTTGGGATATATACAAACATCCAAGAACGGAATTCCCACTTTGGATTCTTGGAATCAATAAAAATTACGAGAATACTGACTGAAACACTCGAATCCTATCTAATGACAACGCTTTATAGCCAGCAACTTGAACTTTACATGCTTTCGAATCGACAGCAACAAACTTCATTCATACAAGTGATACATGAAAAGTTGTCTACCTCACTATGTTGGCGTTTTCATCTAGGTTAAACACCTACAGCAGATTGAAGCATCAGTTTAGAAAGCTCAATTCTTTGCAAATCAGATACAACACCTTCGTCGAGAAGTTCCTAGATAAATAACAGGTCAGATCAAGTTCACAACTAAACATTGCATCAGTCGATACTATCATACCATCCATAACTGGATGTATGATTGTACCTGAAGATGTATCAGGTTTTCGGACACTCTTCTGAGAACAAATTATGGGCTGCAGAGGTTCTTTAGGTCCTCCTCTTTTGCAAAGGAGGTTGGAATGATCCTTGAAGAATAAGGATAGAGATCTTTGTAGGAGTTCCGGATGGTGCCTTCTGCTACTCCGGTTGCCAGGGATATGTCTGCAAGCATAAATATGTTAAAGACACGGAACATGTGAACCACGACAGACGTGAAAACAGGAATGCAAAACCTTTGAGAGGCTTCTTGTCATCTGATAACTGTGTTATCATGTAAATGATAGCCGCTGCAATTGATATAGGACTTCTCCTGCACAAGGTTTCTGCGGTCAGGATCTAATCCCTCTTGTAAAGGCTACAGTTCCACACATAAAACTTAAGAGACAGTGTTAACATTCTGCAAAAAAAAAAAACCCTGTTCTTCACTATGACATCTAACATTCATGTCAAACAAGTACAAATTCTGACTTTTTTAACAACTTGTATTTATCAAATTCCATAGTTACCAGAGTGAATTAGGTAAAGGGTCTATAGCATGTACGACACCATTATCCTATCATAATGTGCCAGCAGCAAGTACATGGCCCACCAGGTGCCTGGTTTATGATATGTTATAGATCTCAAGCTCTTCAGGTACAATACATGAACATCCAAAATGCAAGCAATTCAGCTTAGAGAGGAAGAACACATAAATAACAACTAATGAATAGCTGCTGAAGAAATCATTACATAACAGATGACGTTTTACTTTCAAAATAATAACTAATTAGACCAACAAGACTAGAAAGATCCAAAGAAGTTGTCTACTATTCTTATAAGAGCATTTTAAAATCAATACCTTATATCAAGCTCTTCTGACTTCTGGACTGCTTCCTGAGCAGCTTTAACTGCTTGATTTGTCATACCAAGATGTGAACAAAAACGTCTCTGTAAATTCAAGGCCAAAACAGATAGGCAGGTTAAACAAAAAGAATATGTGCTAAAAAATGAAAAGAAACCAGAAAAATAAACAGCGAAAGACAGCTCAGACGAAGTTAAATTTCAATTAAATAGAATGTAACTAATCAAACTAACAATGCTTAAACTAACCAGAAAATCTCCAGCATGAATTGTTCCCATCTCCATTGACTGTCCCATCTCAACTTCAAGCTGTTTTACAATGAACTCCTTAGCCCGACCAATTTCTTTCTTTGCAGCTCCATTGGCAACAGAGCAAATTTCTAGTTGAGGGAATCATATCAGTTAAACTAACAAATATCAAAATAGAAAATAATAATCAGCAAAGAAACTAAAACTAAGCTACAAACCCTTCACAGTTCGAGGCCTGTCTTCCTGTCGGCAAGCAATGTATAGACAAGCAGCTAAAATTGCATCTTGATTTCGCCCTCTAATAGACTTAAGATCTTCAATTTTCTTGTATATCTCATTGGCCCGGTCCTTCAAGAAGACATAAGATGGTCATTAAGGAGTAAGGGACCAAACAAAAAATGCACAAGAACCTCGCCAGCCAAGTCAATAGTTACCTGCCAACAATGATTTCCATAAAGGCTATTGACAAAGCAAATACTAATGTATAATTTCAGAAAGCACATAATTACCAAAGCAACATAATAAATCATGTATAATCCATGGAGCATGAAAGAAAAAGAGATGAACAAATACTTGAAGAGAACATGTCTAATACAGGTATTACATACATGACAAAGAACCTAAAATGAAGAATTAATTAAAGATTGAAATGATCTGATGCTTAGAGTATACTAAAAGTTGCATCGCAAAATTCTGTATGAAACCCTACCACAACCCCAGCATGAACATAAAATGATGGATATAACATATTTCACCCTGATTTTCTGATGAAATGACTGGTGCAATGTTCATGTTACAAAATTGTTATTTTGTAAGCTTAAAGGCTGGTGATGCCAGTAGCACATGCACCACCAGAACTGAGCTTTCGATCAGACCATGAACATCTTAACATATGTATAGGCCCAATTGAATATAACAAACCATCTCATTCTACGATGACAAACAAATGTATCTCTCCATATATTTTGGTATTCCTGGAGAAATGGAGGCAGCACGTAGCAGAAACATATTTCACCCCTGGTTGCATGCTGCCAGGACAAACAAATGTTGCATGTATGCAGTGTTCATTCATTGTGTAAGAAAGGAGCCAGAATGTATGTATCTCTGGCTTTTTACATGTTGGATAAGTGCTCATCAAGTGCATATATTGATGGTATCAATGAGCATCAATTTTGCAATATAATATTTTATTAAAATGATTATCGATTAAGGGTCCAGTGACTTGTCTTAGCATGGACATAATAAAAATGAAAGTTAGAGAACAATAATTGGTGCAGGAACTTGTAAGTTAACACCAAACAATACAAAACAGTACAGGGGGGACTTCAACGAAATTATACTTCCCGATTATAAATTATCCAACAATTGAAGAACCGAAAACAAAGTCTAATCCAGAACTGAATAAACTAAGCAAAAATTTTAAGATCCAAGACTTAACTAAAATATCAACACATCATAATTAATCAACCAAGTCCCATTTGTCCAGCATGCAAAAATAACAGTTTCCAATTAGTTTAATTGTACATTCTCAACACAATAAAGCTTTTCACTATGCAAGAATAACCCAAGCCATAGAGTCTCCATCCGATGGGCCCTAAAAACATTACTACCATGTCCACAAAAGTTCAAAATGAGCACTAAAGCACCCTACATCTGTCATAAGTGACCTAAGAATATCGATGATCATCCTCCACTCCGATTCCTCTGCAGTGAAGAGAGTAAACCTCAAATACCCTGCCGCCTTTAGAAGGTGAAGCTACCAAACCTTTAAATTTCCAGTCAAGCTCTCGCCAATTAAAATTGCTTAAATTACTTGCTAGGGGTTTATCATCCAATAACCGAGACCCGCAAGTAAACCATTAAAAATAACATCCCAATAATAGACATTTTCTCTAGGTCCAACCATTGGACCCAAGCAGTTTGTATGGATATGAAATAAGGAAGAACTAATAAAAAGCATCAGAAACTCTGCACTGTTGCTTTCTACAACGTCCAAGAATGAAAATCGCTAAACAGTCTACATGGCATCAATATTGACAGCCTCTTAACCGGACCAATGAATCAACCACCTAGCATTTATTCAAGCTAGACAATTCTACTAAAACACAGACCAATATTCATTAATTCTCCAAATTAGATAATATATTTTCCATGCACAACAAATTGAACTGTTGATTGAAACTCAACCACTCTTGACAGATAAGGATACCATTACCAACATAAGTCCCTTGCTTTAACATATATATCATAACCACAAAACAAACCTCTTCTAGTTTTTGTTATCATCTTTTTACTTGGATGAAACTAAAAGGCCCACGAAGCCTTACCTTTGTTTTCATCTGACATCGCGAATGATAATGAAGTCCTACAGTCTACTACCTTTTTTTGTCAACACAAAAGGATGACACATGGCTAAAATAAATGACATGACATTGTGGCCGTTGAAATAACCAACTGATTAAAAAAAGCCAGGCACATAGTAAAATTGATTCGATTTGTTAGTGATAATTTATTCGCAAGACAACCAACTCAACCAATTATCACGGATTGAAGCTTCCCAGCAAGATTCGTGCTCTAAAAAATTTATTCCAAGGAAAAGGGTCATAAAACAAAAAAAAAACTACAGAAAGGCAAAATTTGTACCTTGATAGTGGCAACAAGGCCCAACCTGGGACCAAAAAGGAAAAAATGTCAGCACCTGCTTTAGTAATCATTCCATTCAAAGAAATGCATAGCACAAACTAACTGTATCTCGATGTCCATAGGTCATGATCCAGAGGGAAAAGACACATGCTTAAGTCTAGGTAGATAAAAAATAGAAAGGATATCACAAATTCAAAAGTTACATGAAGCATTCCACAATTGATAAGTATTGAGAAGGATGAAAGTTGTTTTTGTATTTATGGTTGAGGAAGAACCAATCAAGCCCATGGATGATGATTGATGATGATTTTAAACTCAGATATTGAAGCAAAATTGTACAAGCCCATGGATGTGTCATGAACAGCAGCAGCAGATTCTAGTCAAAGACAAGTCCTTGGATGTTTTAAGGTTATTATCGCTTGATGATAATTATTTTTGAAAAAAAAAATCTATTATAATCAGAAATGTGCTCAACTCAAAAATCCATTTTCTAGTTTAGAAAATATCCCACTTTGATTACTAAAAAATACAAAAAGATTTTCCCTGAAAACAGTCATAAAAGAACACTAGAATCAGATTCATGAGTTCGCGCCCAAAGATCCTCTCTCTTTTAGTCATTATTTCAAAAAAAGAAAAAAAAGGCCTTTTTTCTTTTTTACATTCCCTCGCGAAACACGGCACCGCTCAATCCAAAATAGCAGCTCAATAAATGGGAAGATGGAGGAAGGGGGGACCTGTCGGCCATGGTGGCGATGGTCTTGAAAGCAAGGATGAGGTTGCGGTCGGGGTTGGCGCCGCGGCTCTGCCACCGGCCGAGGGAGGAGGAGAGGAACTCGGCCTGCGCGCCGTTGGGCTTGGAGATGACGGTGGAGAGGCCACCGTCGGTGAGGAGGGGGTTGGTGGGCCCGCCGACACGAACGGGGTCGTTGTCCGCGGACTCGTTGGCGAAGGTGCGCCACTCCGAGGTCACGTCGATGGAGTGCGCCTCCAGCACCAGCCCGCACTCGGAGCACACCGTGTCCCCCGCCGAGTGGTCGAACACCACCTCCGTGCTCCGCTTGCAGTCGGGGCAGAAAGCGTCCGCCATCAAACCAAAATCCCTCTCCCCGCCCACCTTCTCTTCTTCCTCGATCCCTCCTACCCGCTATCTATCCCTCGTTCGCCCTCTGTTCCCTCGCTTTCGCCCTCGCCCTCAGCTCTTTGGAGAGCAGCTGAGGGTAGGAAGACGCAGCAAAAGCCAGAAGCAACTACAAACAACGAATCGGATATGAGCACAATATCTACATATTTATTTATTAGATAAGTACAATTTTTGTTTTCTTTCTCTTTTTTTTTTGGCCTCGGTAAGGCAGTGGAGGAACTGCGACTCGGATCGCCTGTGGCTCCCAGACAGGGAACTCCTTGGTGTAGATTGCGGAAACCAGAAATCATTACGTTGAAATGGTCATCCGTCTATTGATTCCTGCTGGCTGTGATTAGATTTCAGCTGAAAGGATCAGACTAAGTTGAATGGTTTTGGTTTGAAGCTGAAAGATAATTTCTCTTCATATATATGCATATGTATACGTATGCATGTATATACTTATGTATACATATGTATACATATACATATATATACATATATATATATATATATATACATATATATATATATATATATATAACCCATTACCTAACCCAACACTCAGCCCATTTGCCCACCCGAAAATATCAGCCCATTAATCCATTCTCAAGGTCCAATAGCCGAGGCCATAAGTCGGCCCATAATCAGCCCATACTGGGCTTTTATGCAGCCCATGAGACCAGCCCGTTGACCCAGCCCACTTGGCCGAGCTTGTTGGATCAGCTTACCTTAATGTGGCTGTGTCCTGGAGAATCCAGCTACAACAAGGATCAAATGAAGAACAATCTATAAATCGTAATTGGCATTCAAGAAGCTCCTATACTCCGTTCCTTCAAGAGATCTGTAAACATCATCCCAGTTCTCGACCAACTTGGGCAGTGGTCTTGTGTGAATCTTTACATGTCGACTAACCAGCTTCCTTGGAGGGACTCTGAGGAACTCCAGGACATCCATCAGCTTCTGGAGAAGAAAAATGATACATGGGTTATAGTGCAAGATGTAGCTTTGAGCAACGAAGAGCTGCAGACAACTCACAGTTCGATTCTGGACAAGGTCCTCGTAGTACAGAACAATGTGCCGGGTGTTCCTGAAGTGCCCCATGGCATCGGTGATGAACTTGTGTGTGTGCCTGAGAGTTGAAATCAATTCTGAGGTGTTGATCCTGGGCTTGTATCTCGCTAGTATGTTGGCCTGCATTGCAATCACCAAGGTGAAGAAAGAGTATGGACTTTAAAGTGGAAGGTTGTTGATGAGAAGAACTGACCTCGTTTGTTGAATGGACATGAGCTTTATGAGTCCCATTTAATTGCTTAGTGTTGCGATCATGATCGTTTGCGAGTTGCGAAACCAAACGACGAAGCAAGTTTCTTCTGAACAGGAAAATCAAAGAGACCCCTCTTCGACTGAAGTATTTGGCTACCTTTACATGATTCTCCATAAGGCCCTGTAATATCCATAAAAACTGGAGATGTCAGAGTCAGATTTACAGTATGTCCTTAAAAGTCAATCAAACAAGCTGAGCAAGTTGTACACAAGAAATTCTGTCCTGCAGAATCAAGAGGGTTTACAGTATAATATTACAGCTAGGAAGACACGAGTCCACAATCTATACTATTTCATGAGTCCACAATCTATACTATTTCATGGATTTCATTATTACATTTCTGAAGTTTTAGAGTCCTCTAAAGTCTAAAGATTAGATCATAAACCTTGTAGTATCCATATTATCTTCTAATATCTTTTGATGCAGTACAGCTGCTGTTACCGAGAAGCCTGTTGCTTCACAGTGATTCATGCTTAATCATGCTTCTATTCCAAATCAACAAAGGAAAAACAATACTTACCAAAGACCAACTACTTCCTAATCCTAATAAAAATTGGACTAATAGAATCCTACTTAAATCCAAACTCTAAATGCCAATAGGTGCCACTTTCCAGACAGTTTGAACCATCAAATTTCCAGCATCAGTTGGGTACAATGTTTAGTAGAATGCTTGAATTTTTCAGTAATAATAACCTTATACATACCTGTCTAGACCAAAAATGTTTTTGAATATTCAAGTCAGATAGTATACTCAATGACTAATATTGTTCTGTTCTCATGTATCGGGAAAACACCAAGTACATCATGCTTTTGTACCTTCAGTTTGCATCTTAAACTGACAGGCTTAACTAATGGAACTACATTAGCACTTTTTCAGTTTCAACTTGTCCTCAAAATGTTGAATTATGGAATACCTGGTTTTTGGTCAATGGAACATGTTAACTCTTGCTTGAAGCACCTCTCAGTCTAGTTGCCAAATTAGCTTTATTACCTCGAACCAATTACTGTGTTCAAGGTTTATTCATAGAATGTGATCCACCAATTTTCTCATCAAGCTTCAATTGCTTTCTAACTGCTCTAAGTTGAAAATTTCAAGAAACATGCATCCACAGTTGCACCAACTTTCAAGGCCCAAATATAATCCCTACATCGTATCTAATAACAACTCTACGTTCAACTGTTTGATTCCAAAAATTATGATTCATCAGCATTCATTTTTGGAAATTCAACAAATGGTCAAGAAGAAGATGAACCTTGTTAACTGAGGTTCAAGTTAGAAGAAGTTGATTTGTGTTTCCATAGAAATTTGACCAAAGATTTCCAGTTGGAATAATAGTGTAGTTAGATTTTGTATCTGTACGAAGTGTGTGTGTGTATTTATGTCTCGAAATGTTTGGTCAAATTTCTATGGAAACACAAATCAACTTCTCCGATTGCATAAATGTCAGGTTTCAATTGAACAAGCACATAGCAAGAAACTTAAGCCTGCATCAGATAAAGATAACACACCAAAGAAATTATTTCAGTGATGAATGATACCTGATTAAGCATCCACTTCAAACCAACAGCAGCTGTACAATCATTTTTTGCAGCACTGCTGTACCAATCCAGATTGTAAACTTTGTCCAATGCTCTTATGATTGCCGATATGTTGCCTCTCCTTTCTTTGGAAGAGAAAATCTCCCCGTTAGAACTAATGTTAACATGGCTATTCAAAAGAGTCTCAAACCATCCGCTTCCAGATCTCTGCATGGACACAATAGAAAAAAACCGAACTGGTGTACATGCACATTCATCCCTGATGAATTGATGAATGGTTAGTTAAAATGCTGGCAAAAGCCAAATTAAAACAGATTACCAGGACAAAAGGAAAAACAAAAGACACCTGCTATAAGTATTGGGTTCTGGATAATGCACATATGGGATTTCATAATATGGAATGGCAGGATTTTTGCAAGGTGCTTCCATTATCTCCATCTTCAATTTTCTGGGTCTGCTTTGTATCCCCAGTTGCGTTAAACATACTGAGCAAATATAGACACCACATATCATCACAGCAGCTAACATAAACATCCTCAAAGCATGCGATTTCTTTGGTCCCTTTATGACGAGTGCATCCTGCAATAAATATTAGAGAAAGATACTGGTCGGTGGATAAACAAAACCAGACCATGTACAAAAATAGTCTAGCTATTGGCTATTCTTGTCAAAGATTTTAATTTGGGAAGTACCACACTAGCTAAGTAGGTATAGCTGACGACATATGAAATAAACAGCTCCATGTGAGACTCAAGTGGCATTAATCAGAAAAGAATGACCACTCATAACTAGTAGTTCCAAATTTCAGTAGCACAAAGGATGGTGTTAAATGATGCACTGAAACAATAAAAATAAAGGGAATAATTTGACAGAATCATGTGATAAAAAAGAACTGAATAATGACGAGTTAAAACAAGCAAGTCATGAAATAATTTGGTACAGATTGAAGTGTTTATTAGCTCAGTTAGGTCACCTGAATCACAATACAGAGTGAAATCCCAGGCAAAGACAGCTTTTCAGATTTAACTGGTAACTATTTCCCGGAACTTGATATGATAAACAAACTTGAGAACCAGCAAGAAACATTTGGAAAGAAGAAGAAAGTTCCAAGAATGACCAGTCAAGGTGAGAAGAAGGAAAAACCTCAAAGCAGCTTCTTTTTTGTTCAGATCAAGCAATGTTCTCAGAGTCATTTACAGACACAATGAAGTGCAGCTATAACACTGAGATTCTATAGATATATGACAAGGAAAAACGAAACAAAATTCATCAAAAAGCGAAATCAAGGAATGGTCACCTTGTTGAAGAAGAACCGCTGCTCCACCATCTTGTTTTCCCTTTATTTCAACCTTATATTGACTCCCTTCTTCAGAAAGGAGAGGCATTTAAGAATGAGGAGCTCCCATCCCCATTCCCATCTCTCTCGCTCGGCCTCTTTTCCCTCCTTAAAAAATCCCTTCTTTTTTTCTTCAAAGGCGAGGTTTTTAGTAAAGTAGAGGAGCCGGAGGATCGAAAGCCTCTTCCCAGCTCAGTAAACTCTCCTCGTGAGCCACCATCATTACCCCCATATGCCACCAAAGCGCTCCTCTTTGTTCCCTGTTGTTTCTCCTCGTCAAGAACGAATCTTTACTTCTCCGTCCCCTCTCTATCCCGATTTCTCGACCGTGTCCGACACTACGTCTGTTCTAGAGAGAGAGAGAAATTGGGGACAGTGAGGTGGCAGGATCTTCAAAGAGTGCCGAGAAAAGCGCTCCACAGAGAGAGAGAGGAAACCAGGAATAATTTATGCAGGAGAAAGAGGGAAAAAGGAGAAGCACCGCTATTAGTTTGATGTAATCAAAAGGTCTAAATCTGAATAAAGTCCCCATGTTGGTTATGTTGTCACCACTGCAGTAATGAACTCTCCCTCCCTTCTTATCCAAAAGTACGAACACCAAACGTGGACTATATATATATATATATATATATATATATATATATATATATATATATATATATATATATATATATGAGATAAAAATTTGAAAACAAATTGGAACTTTAATATTTTCCTGCAAAGCTTCTATTTAAAAAATATCTAAAAAATATTTTTTGATGAGCTATTTTACCGATTTAATTCTGGACAGCTAAGCCTAAAGTGTTTCTACTCAAAACAGTCGGTTTGGACTATCGGTTTAGTAAAGCTTTGTTGACCGATTCGAATTGAAATGGTTCATGTCTCTACTCAAAAAAGTGTTTCTACTCAAACCCTACAAAATGATTGTTGCATTATACAGTGTTTCTGTCTTAATGCTGGTTTTGATATCGAAGATGCAAAAAACATTTCTCTTTTATTACTTTTCATTTCTTTCTTATTTATTTTCTCCTTTTTCTCATACGTGAGTTGTTCTTCTTCTTTGTCTTCTCCTCCTTTGTTTTTTCATTTCTTCTTGAATCGAGAATATAAAAATAATCTTGTAACATATACTGTTATCTTTGTTACTACTCGATCATTTAATAGTAGTTATTTAGACAAGATAAGATACATATATATTATGCATCCATAAATATCATGGTATTTAAATCAACGCAGATGTTTCCAATCATAAACAAGTCTGGGAGGAATTTATTTATATGTTCTTTTTGCTGCATACATAACAATGAACATCAGATAGATGGTAATGGTGGTGTGCATTGGTCAGTTATATTGTCTGATCACATTCTAAAGACACCGTATTTGGTGTCCTCGGGATGGGGCTTAATGGAGGCAGAGAGACAGAGGCCGATGACCTTTCTGGTGTCAGATGGGTGTATGATGCCATCATCCCAAAGCCTTGCAGTAGAGAAATAAGGGCTTGCTTCTCTGTCGTAGCCTTCCACAACCTTGCTTTTAAATTTATCCTCTTCCTCCTTGCTCCACTGCATTTGATCAAAAAACAAGGTGATTGATGTTGCAGTCGAAGAAAAGTTAGATGAGAATGGTGTGTGGTTCCTGGGTTCATAGCATTGCATCAACTAAAACTTTCACCAAACTAAAAGTTCCTGACCTTTATTTCGTATGTGTGCTGCCTTATTTGGAGCAGAATATCATAGCAATTTGGAAATGTGATATCGAGAAAGAGAAATTACGGCAAAATGATGCGATTGATTCTTTATGATATTGCGACTACTACGAACCGACAATTACCTCAATTCCTTGTCGTTTCTTGTTGCTCCTCTCAATTTGGGCGAGGACACCGGCAGCCTGGGAAGATAAAGACCAATCAAAACCACGAAGAAGTATGAAGGCCAAAACCCAAAGGAGCCTTGATACTGCCACTAACAATCTAGACTAAAGCATCAAATGAGAAACATATCTAATTGTCAAAGATTCATCTGGACAAGAACCAGTGTGCCTTGCTCAAGAAGGCATAAGTTTGTTCATGTTTAAGTTCTTTTTTCTGAAGAAAGTTTGTTTGTGTTCAAGTTAGTTCGAATCTTAAATACTAGAAAGGCTTCATCGAGGAAAAACATCAACATATTTGTTCTCTCTGACATCATATTTCAGGAAGGATCAGGCAAAGACTAAAGCTCAGTGTTGCAACTCAAGGAAACAACATAACTGGTTAATTAAGTTTGCAAAAGGAAAGAAAGATTGATCCATTAAAATTTCTTTGAGAATTAGTTGGTTCTTTAACTATTTCTACCAAGTTGTACATCATCATCTAATTTATTCCATTTTTTATAGTTATGATCCAGGCAAACATTTGATCCTATGCACTGGTCAATAAATATCACTATTTACATTTTCTGCCACTAAATGGCAAGAACTAAGAAGAAAATGAACCACAGCTGTAACATTGAATATTAGCAGCAGAGATTCGTTTTCTGCCATCTATATGTTGCACCTAACAAGAAACTAGAAAAGAAGGCATATTTACAGATTTGTGACCTATTTGATTGAGGGAGACTTCACTACAGTATAAGAAATGAGATGTTACCTGATTGCCACCCATCACAGATATCTTGGCAGTAGGCCACATAAACAAGAAATTAGGACTGTACGCACGTCCACACATTCCATAATTCCCAGCACCAAAACTACCACCAACAATTATTGTTATTTTAGGAACCTGCAGCAAGTTCCCACAAGATAAATTATTTTTCAGAAGCTATCATCACTGTAAGACACAGATTGGAACTGTGTAATAAAAATGAAGCTCTGAAGTAGTGCATTATATGAAAAGCAAAGCCACAATATCACCAAAGGCCAAAAAAAGAATTTTAGAGTAGTCAAGTTTTATTTTAATACTCATATTTGCTTATCTATTAGCGTATGGTGCAATTTTCTTCACATCTCAATGGATAAAGCCAAAAAGCACGAAACATGAATGCAAATCGCTCAAACATTTTGTCACATAGCCAAGCTATAACTCATATCTTTCATGCAAGTATTGATTGGTTATAAGACGATGGTACTCTACTTTGCTAGGTTGAATAGTGGAGACATGTCATGACCTTGCCCAATAGGACCTATAAATTAATGAACCTGAACTGAACTATTGTTCCAAAATGATTAAACCCAAAGTTAATTTATAAACCAACTCAGATTTCCTTTCACCTATGATGTAGCTTTGAACTAAGGTGCCATAATTGATCCCACTCAATGCTTCATGTTTTCATCAAGATCCAACATAACTCAAAATCAAGCACTAGCATGGTGCCTTTGGTTCCATCCATGCATGAGAGTCCTTTCCTACTTAGACCCCTCACAATATAGGTCCACTTTGAGATTGTTTGCCAAAACTCTCTCTAATAGGAGAGAAAGGAGGAAGGGATAACGTAGTGGGCAGGTAGCAACAAAGCATAGTGGCGAGGATGGTGGTGAGGCAATGGGGAAGAGAAGAGACAAAGGGAAGAGTGATATCTTGTCAAGAGAAAGAGATAAAGAAAGGAATTTGGAAGGCAAAAAGAAAAAAGAAAGGGGACAACTATCATCAAAAGCTATAGAGAAAATAAATAATGAGATATCGGTATCGGGTGGTTGGCTTATCACCTGGTACTCCTAGTTTTAATCATTAACACTGGAGGGTAGAGTCTGGTTTTGTAGAACTACTGAGTGGTAACCCTTGTTTTGGATCAAATGACCCTCGTATTGGTTGGAATGGCAAATACCGATTAATCCAGACTGGTCCGATTTGTTTCCAAATCGTTGATCTTAAACATTTCTACCTTCATCATCTTTGAGAAGTAGAACTTATCTAGCGAGCAATCTAGCAATGACATGGTAACACGATGACAGCTTTTACATGCAAATAAGAATATCACAATAAACAGGACTAACAAACCACAATCATTCATTTTATTGTCATGCTAATGAGTAAGATAAGGAAAAATTGTAATATAAGTAGTAATTGAATTAATCTACAAGCAGAATATTGAGTATATGCAAGGTCTGGTAAAATTAAATCAGTCAACCACTTGAAAATTGAGTAAAATCATCTGTATTATTCAGCAAAGACTGTTGTATTTACATCCTCAATTCCATGATGGAAATATATGCAGACAAGTCTAGCACAAAATAAAAAGGGAAAAAGCATGACCTTTGAACAGGAAACTGCCATGACCATTTTCGCTCCAGCTTTAGCAATACCACTTGCCTCAGACTTAGACCCAACCTATACACCCAAACAAAATTAAATATAAATCCTTAAAAATCACAAGTCACACTTTTTGGTGATTTATTTACAAAAGAGTTACCATGACAAGATTAACAACAGAACTATAACATGCCTGTAAAATGATATTGGCATGAATATCCAGCATGATATTATATAAAGTTGCAGGATATAAAACAAAAAAAATTGAATGACAAAGAATTACTCATGCTGCTTTGTTGAACATTTACTTTTGAATGTTGTGCATGCAAAATACAACATCTTCAGTAAAAGTGGGAATTTGGATGTGGAATTGTGGATATGTGCAGCACAACACAACATAAATGACACAGCACGTAAAATGTGGATTGCTGAAACAAGGCCAGCCAAGAGCCAGCAAGCAGCATGACAATCCTTGGTAATTTAAGGAATTGAAAATGTCATGCTGATGTTATTTCTTTTGGATGACAATCCCAGAAAAGATTTAATTTCCAAAAGAGAGAGACAGGGTTTCATTTGAGAAGCATCAATTATGGCTTCAACCTATTAACAATGATTACAAGCACCTAAAATATAAGTTGGATGCATATTACAAATTTCACAGCCAACAAATTTACTGCATTAACATTCAGATGTGCAATCTGGAATATACTGATGTATAGGCATTTTACAATGACAAGGAAGATAGAAAGTGTACCATAAATCCAGTGATATTCTGAAGAAATATCAAAGGAATATTACGTTGTGCACACAACTCGATAAAGTGAGATCCTTTCAAAGCAGATTCAGTAAACAATATGCCGTTATTTCCAATTATCCCAACTGACTGCCCATAGATCCTTGCAAAACCTGTCACAAGTGTCTATACATAAACCTAGTCAATATCCTTGCATTTGCAGCATTAATAAAGAGAAACACAGAATGCAGAAGAAACTTCAAGTAGTCTAAGAGCTCTTACCGTGCCATAGTACTTCTTGAATTCATCAAATTCACTGCCATCTACAATACGAGCAATAATGGATCGAATATCAAAAGGCTGCTTCTGATCGACACGTGCAATCGATGTAAGTTCCTTCTCATCATATAATGGATCCTCATAAGAAGAAGAATTACTTGGTGGACTATTTTCCCCTCTCCCAGCCATATATAAGTTCTTAACAATATTTCTCCCAATTGTCAGGCCATGAATCTCATCTATAACACATGCAAGTACAAAGATTATCAGGACCGTGATAGAAAGGATATTGTCCTCTTTTTAATTGCGGAGTAAAAGAAAATATTCAAAGCAAAGAACAAAATCTTAAAAAATATAGAATCCATATTAGGTGCAAATAAGAACAAAATTTTGTTCATCTAAGTTGGAATCTTAAGTGATGAACAGTATAAACAAAAGGTGGAATATCGTGACACACTTAAAATAACATCGAACAAAAAAACAATCAAGCAAATTAACAACCATTTCAAAACCTATTTAGCCAAGGAACCAAGCAACATATACTGCTGGAGGAATTTGTGCTAGCAGAAAGTTCTATCTAAATCAGATATTGAATCTGAAATATATCAAGAAAAAAAAGCAAGCATGGTTTTAATTATTTATTATGGTAAGCAAACTAATGTGAACAAAAATGTGAAATCAACAAATGTCATGAAAGAGAAAACAAGCAAGCTTTAAGCAAATGAAGCAAGAGATTCACAGCAAATGGATAGAAAATCCATTGTCACTTATGTTTGACATGCAATAATGTGGCCTAGAACTGTTTTTGACAAGGGATATGCAACCACAAAGTTGTATTTCTATTGTCCATAATGATTAATTAGATGTATTTATGACAATGTAACCTAACTGGACAACGAAAAGTGCAGTAATTAGGATCACTTATTTTCCTCTTATAGCTGCACACAAAACAAATTGAGAAGCCATAGATCTGAACACAATTTTGATCTGAGAAGCTAATAGAAAGAGTATCCTAATACAAAGATTATCGCAAATCCAGGCCTTGGGGAAAGTCAATGTGTGCAAATTTTCTTGTACAAGCAGAAAAACTATTTTGATGATTCAAACCATTATCACTAGGATGCAAAGGAAAAAACTTACCATGGCGCCTAGGTCCACCCTCAACAAATTGGAGGTCAAGTATGTTTTAGTCAAAACTTTCTAAAAGGCCAGCCTTAGTATATTAAGTCATGGTAAAATAGTTTTTGTTTTCAACTAAGCTAAAATGTAAGAGGTTTTAATACAGATATTGGTACCCATACAGATATAATTCATGATGCATGAATAATACCATAAATTGCATCATGAGGGACGTATTACTCTTGAGCATATGTGCAATATGATGAAAAAAAACATGCTATTGAGGTAGATCAGGATGTTAAGATTGATCAAAGCGAAAAGTACCTGTTGCAAAATGATCAGATACTCCTGATATCTTACAGTGCATGGAGGCACCTCCCAAATCCTCAGCAGATACCTCTTCCCCTGTAGCAGCCTATGAAAATGCGTTCTTCAGAATCAACCTAGATTTTAGAAGTATGTACTTCAAATTCTTATCAATGTAATTACTTTTTACTAAAATGAAGATAAGACACACTGGAAACATGCAAAACAAAAGCCCAAACCAATACTTACCTTAACAAGGGGAGGGCCAGCTAAAAATATTGTTCCATTGCCTTTCACAATCACACTTTCATCAGCCATTGCAGGTATATAAGCTCCACCAGCTGTACAAGAACCTAAAACCAGAGCAATCTGGGGTATACCCTCAGCTGACATTTTTGCTTGGTTATAGAATATCCTACCAAAATTGTCTCGGTCAGGAAAAACATCAGCTTGCCTTGGAAGGTTAGCACCTCCACTGTCAACAAGGTATATGCATGGCAACTTGCATTCGGCTGCAATTTCTTGTGCCCTAAGATGCTTCTTTACAGTGATTGGGTAATATGTCCCACCCTTGACAGTGGGGTCATTGGCCACAAACATGCACAGCCGCCCATGTACAGGTCCTATTCCAGTAATGATTCCCCCAGATGGTAATGACTCTTCGTACAGGTCAAAACCTGCAAGCTTCAGGGTTATACAGAAAAATAAGAATGTAGAAACCAGGACAATCACATCTAAAAGAGGTACATAACTCATCAGTTGGTAGTAAGTAACTGAGTATGATAAATGATATATATACTCTTTTTCAAGGGAAAGAAAGAAATCACATGAATCAAATAAGAAAGAATAACATAGAGAACAAAATATCTAAATCATTGTGTATAAGTAGAAAGTGTCGGGTCACTCATTCTGCTTCATGTACTGTTCGGTGCTTAAGAATGTCTTGATTTCATATCCAGATTGGCATTCCAGGAGCTTTTGTGCTCTTGGTGGAATTCTGTTGTCACCCTCAAGACCAATTTCCTACAATCTCCTCGTTTTGCATGCTTCGTAGTTTCTTTACACTCAAGAGTTGGCTGTTAGTGTGTAAGTGAGATAATTCCAGTAAAAGTATCCTTTACATAAAAAAAATGAACTCATGTGCTCCATACGACAACAGCAAAAGATACTGCTTCTTTTATCCTTCTGCTTCTTTTATCCTTTTATTTCTGTTCATAATCTCCTGCTCCAACTGATATGATTTCACATTTTCAACTCCCACTTATATATGCAGAGTGGTATATGAGTATATCTTGAATGATAAATCGATGCAAGGTCAAAGAATGCATCTATCATCGGGTTAATGACGATTTGATTATCTCATGAATGATAGCTTACCATCCTACCCCTTTTCTTAATATGATAATTGAAATTATAACAATCTTAATTAGAGAATAACCGTACCATCCCAAAAAGTGAATATTTTTTAGATGAGATTCGCAACTTCACCTACTCTCAGAAACAAATTCCACAAGAACGAAACAAAATGATGAGCTGTTTATACCGAAATGATACCGAATTCGAACAAAACGAATATTTTGGTTTCAGGAAAGGGCACCTACCTGAGATAGCTCAAGAAACGACGACCCAGGATCGATCATCCGGTCGATCCGCTCCCTGGGAAGAAGCTTGTTGCGGCTCCTGTTCCTCTCCACGGCTCGGGGGCCTCCGCCGCCAAGAACCTGGACGAGACAAACAAAGAACCATTAGGAGCCGAATAATCCCCGAATTCCATGGATCTGTCGAGGGAGAGGAACGCGAGAGGGACCTGGCGGATGTTGGATTGGAGTTGCGAGATAACGTCCTGTACGGCGGCGGAATTACAGGCAAAAGCGTCGGAGCTCCGGTCGATGCCGTCGGGAAGGACGGCGGAGCAGAAGGGCATCGCCGCCTGGTGGTGGCGCCGTTGGAGTTGCCTCCACGATCGCCTCGCAAGAACCCTCAGCATTTCTCCCCTCGTCACAAGAAAATGGAACTCCAACAGGATAAGCGGCAAGGGAGGCCCCCTTCCAAGCTCAATGTTTATACGGGTAATATAAATTATTATTATTATTAATGTTGGCATATTAAAATAAAACAACTGGTATTAAAATACGTATGGATAAGAACGTGTGATTTGGCTGCTGAGTGGGCATAAGATTACGTGCCGTACTTTTCAGCTTTGAAAAAATTATTCGACTCGTTTCTCGAGTACCCGCCGACCTACCCACCTCTTCACTGGTGCAAGGTTAAGTGGCTCGACCTTTAGCCCGCGGGTATGTGTTTTATGTTATTTGAACAATAAATAGCTCACTCAAATTTATCGTTTTAAAATATTTAAATCGCTATATTTTATTTTCCATCTTTCTCTATTTCCTCTCTGTTATAATGACATGTCACGAATCGTATTCCTTGGGCTGGGCTGAGTTGGGTTGGACTTGTGATGAGAACAGGGTAAAGTTTATTTGGTTCGAGGGTTAATTATTATTTACTCACTTAGTTAGACTTTTTAGTATCTTCGTTTCTAGGTTTAAAATTTTTATATTAGAATCTCTATAGTTATCTATAGTTATAAAAGTGAAATTTTAGATCTATTTAAAAAAAAAAACATCGACGAAAATAATGGATAAAAAAATAATTTGAATATTTTCATTTGGTAGTGATGGTGGACAACATTGAGGGCCATGGATAATTATTATGAATGAGTTACATCTGTGTTGACACCGATGCTGTTGCTGAGTAGTCCTTTTGTTGCTTTGTATCTAAATCGACGTAAATGCAATTGTCAAGCAATAAAAGGATCACTCATCGTGTTAGCATCGATGCAGTTGCCAAGTGGTGGAGGAGCCACTCGACTTCTACATCTGTGCTGACACAAATATAGAACAATATCGCTTTGCATCTACATTGACGTCAATGTATTTGCCAAGCGACAAAATGACCACTCGGCATTTACATTGGTAGTCATTTCACCACTCAACAATTGTTTGACATTGATGAGGGACCCTCACCTCTTATTGATAATAGACATTCGCGACTCCTAATGACACTATCATTTATTACCACCAATGTTATCTACTACCACTAGCGAGAACGATTGAAATTATATTTTTGTTTATTATTTTTATACTTTCGTCGATAAAATCGAAGGTGTTAGAATAAATGAACCTAGATATTTTATTTTCATAATTATAATAAATTCAATATAAATTTTTTAAATATGAGGATCTAGAATAATCTATGTAATTAGCTGTCAAAATGATGTGTCATCGTTCAATCATTTTTATGCTAACTCCTCAAGCTAATCACCTAAGTTAAATAATCTAACTAATCCAAATTTAGATGTCTCCTTTTCAAGGGTTGTGTCACAATAAACTTTGGATTTGGTTCGCTTTAGTAATACAATTAAAAATAAGATTGTATTAAATAATAAAATAGGAAAGAAAATACGTATATTTAATATATTAAGAAAAACGACAGGTTATTGAACAGCTGGTGCTTAGGGGCGATCACAGAGGTGAATCTGTCTGCTTAGATCTTTCCTGAATTGGATTAGAAGATATCCAAACACAAGGTATGTGAATAATGCAACGCATTGACATTGGATTAGATAGACTCGGGTATATGTCACATTAGGAATGACAGCGAATAGAACTCTTGTAATCGGAATCCCACTTGTGAAAACACATAAGCAAATTACAATTTCTTTTTTGGAAAGCAGTAAATAATGAATGCCGATTCTGACACAGGATTTAAAAGAAAATTTACTCAGTTAAGCTATCAAAATAAAGTAAAGTATTATCATCATATCTTGCCAATTGCCTCGTTAACCCGAAATATTGGCCCTACATCATGCAATCTACGTATCGTTAGAGAAATTTTATCTGCTATCACTAAATATCCTCCCTAAACTCTTCTGAACAACTTGAATATATACCGTATTTCTGCTCTTAAATCCTTTAACTATTTTACTAACTTAAACATAAAAAAAATCTTAATTTGTTGGACATGTCTTCGATAAAGAGCTTATAATAATCTAGAGTAGGCCAGTTGAAGATATTCAATGACTGATGACAGATCTGTCTGTGCCCCTTTTGATGTCTTCTTTGGGAGATGCAGATTACATATAGGCTTATCTTAGGCTTCCAAGTGTGCCAAATAGTTCTTCTCCAAAACAGTGATAAGCAAGTGAGATTGGCAACTTTGTGAAGTAAACTGTTCTGCAACCTCACCGTAACAAAGGTTTGTCACTTCCTCACAACCTTGCAAGTGTGTGAGGACTCGTGAGAGAGGCCTTTGGATATGTATACTAACAAGTCTTTGATTGTGATGAGTTGATGATGTACGAAGAAGAGTCATGGACGAAACCCATGAAGGGACTTCTGTATTCATCATACAACTTGAATCAAACACTTGTCATCTTGCAAGAACAATCATAACAAAATCCAAATGGTTTCAGGTTCCTTCACGCCAAGAAATTGTCATATAAATATATATTCCCCCACACCTCATAAGATTCATCCTTGTCAGGAGAACAATCAAAGGATGATGCAAGTCTTGACCATCTCATTTAATCAGGTAATTATTTATAAAAATACTTGCAGTGTGGTTCTCCCGACGATCATCTTTATGTAAGATAGTTGATAGATGCATTTTTCTGAAATTTTCCTGCTAAATATTTTTACCAAGCAGCTGAGAATGAACAAATATCAGTGTCTCAATCTACTTGTAAGAGTATATGGTCATCAAGTCCCCAGTCTAATTAATGGACTATAATACAAGCAATCAACAGTGTTCATATCAGATGACAGCCACTGAAACCAATTCTACTGGATGCACTTGCCACACAAGAATTAGCACTGCTGGATGCAACACCTATAACCATAGCATGCAACAAAGATGAGAAGTAGAGTTGCTGGACTCATCATCCATTCTAATCTTTCATGAGACCAACAGACAGTCAAGTTGGACTTGGAGACATGCAATGAACTTTTGAACTGGAGAACAAAAGTTTACAATATAATGAAGTGTTCAAAGTCTCACATCAACAGAGATTAGTCAAACAAATGCTATGATAAAGCCGGTAAAGGGAGCAAGCTGATATCCTTCTGACATTCAATTCTTTCTTTTTTTCACATTAGCAGATTCTGACAACATATCCATCATATTGTATTGAAATCTTGACAGCATCTAAGGCAACCAACTAGGTCAAAGGGCTTGCATAAGATATTATGTGGCTACTCCACCATTCTCTGCATCTTTCATCACATGTTCAGTAGATTGCAGGTGGGAGTGGGTGGGTCTAATTGACAGTAGCATGTTACTCTATTCTGTTCCAGATCCAAGTTATAAAGCAGTGTGGATTCAAGCAAGGTTGGGTAAAAAAAAGAAGAAGAAGCCTTTAAGCTAGTCCATAGGACTGAGTCAATCAAGAGAAGAGTTAAAACAAGTGAGCATCCAATGAGTTCCGTAACAAAGTTGCTCTTTCCCATGTGCAGATCCAAACACAGTGACAGCCAAGGATCACAGCACATGGTACCATTATCCTCCACCACACTTGGTTTGTGATTGTTACAGCAGAAGGGGTTTCTTTTAATCCTTCCTTTTCTTTTTGCTGGATGCAGCAGAAGATGTTGAGAACATGGAGAACAGAACCAGCTCTGCGAAAATTATTTTTCTTATCCACATGTTACTGTCATGGGAGTGTTATGGTTCGTAAACAAGTTGCCAAACATTTGCTGTCAGTTTATTGAATCTCTATTCCATTCACATTCCCCAGCTCAGATCAGGCAGGTATTTGCCTACCGATCGATGATGATGCTCTGACAAGTTTATAGTTTATCGGAAAAATGTACAATTGAGAGGTGTAAACTTACACGTATAGATCACAGCATTTCCCGTCCTTCTGGTTCTGGACTGCTCTGATTGCAGCAACTCGGGCAGCTGTGACTGCTTTATTTGCAGCTGAAACAGCCTGTTTAACTTGCTCCTCCACCAGCGGAAGAAGGGTAGCATTCTCTGCTGCCTTCCTTGCAGCCTAAACCAATCAAAATAATTCAATTTTAATGATATCGGTGCATTGTACACCGGTTGGAAATCCATATAGGTTCAAGATGCATACCTCAAGAACTCGCTCAACAACAGGGTCTGACGCGAGGAGGCTGTTCTTCAGAACGCCACAGTCCCACTCACCAGACCTCCTCTCACCATTTCGGAATGTGTATGTTCCAAAACCCTGTCTCCTTCCTTCATGCCATGAGCCCTCGTAGCAGTGGCCATTAGCAAAGTTGTACACCCCAAAACCATGGATTTTGTCTCCGAAATATTCGCCACTATACCAATCACCATTTCTGCAATGAACCAAGTCTAGATCATTGATATGTGAACAACAAAAAATCGATTTTGACATAACTAGGCAATCAAGAGTAAAGGAACCGAAACAGATTCTGCAAATAATTGCAGATTAATTGTCGATGGCTCTTCAATTATGGTAGCAGGCAAGACCATTTGACAAAATTAGGAATATACTATTGAGGGAGGGTAGGTAATGACCTATCCTCAAAGAAAAGGAATGGCCTATTCCATGAGGAACAGATTAAGCCTTCATATTTATTGATACCGACCAAATATGTCACGACATTATACACATTAAAGACAGCAAATCGTAATAGTCCAAATTGCAACAAGAACAAATCGACAGGCAATTTAATGGAACCATAACAAGTCCTTATGCTGTACCTATGATCGTGATTGGCAAATTCATGTGTCATATACATGGAAAGAGGAAATAGAAAAAGTGAAACAGGTTCAAAGCTCGAGCTGATCAGTAATTTAATTCGAAAAATCCTATCAGAATTCTTTCATCGGCCACAAAAGAACCAAAAAAACACTCAACCACCACCACATAACCCTATTTGATCAAATTCACAAACACATGGTGACAATTACCAACTAGAGCGTGCAAGAAGGAGAACAGAGCCACTTCTCTCTTACCTGAAGCGATACTGGCCAAGGCCGTGCTTGACCCCGCACTTGAACTCCCCAGAATAGCAGCTGCCTTCGGAGAAGGTCTGGACGCCGCACCCGTGGCTTTGCCCGCCGACCCACTCGCCGGCGTAGCTGTCCCCGTCGTAGAACCGGTACGCCCCGAAACCGTGCCGCATCCCCTGTCGATACTGCCCCCGGTACCGGCTTCCCCTCGCCCAGCTCTCAGTCCCATGCCCGTCGTACTTCCCGTCAACCCAATCCCCCTCATACCGCCCCTTGACGAAGAAGCGGTACACCCCACTCCCGTGACACCTCCCCTTGTGAAGCTCCCCTTCGTACGCGTCCCCATTACCAAAGAACACCACTCCTTCACGCTCAGCCTTGCCACTCTTGATCCCTCTGTTGGAAACTCTTCCAGCAACGTCGTCGCCGATGAACCACCGAACCGGTACGCCCTTCCGTGCCGCTCTGAGCTTAAGGAAGCGTGACCAGACGAGGAGGATGGAGACAAGAGCTAAGCAGGCAGAGGCGAGGAGAAGGCTGTTGGCCGTGGTGAAGGCTCGGTTGAAGTAGAACAAGACGAAAGGAAGGAGAAGAAGGAAGACGATGGAGGCGAAGAGAGGAGGAGGGAAGGCGCAGTGGAGCAGAGGGGAACGGCCACCTCCCATTCTCCCACCCTCCCAGCTTTGCTTCCTCCGCTACGGACTACGGTATGGACTCGATGGGTCAGATGGGGGTATCGGTAGCCAAAGAGGGGTGGGTATATAGGTGGGAGAGTGGATCGGACGGTCGTGAGGAGTTGGTAGAGGCTTACGTAGCGATCAACGCCGTTTGTTGGCCGTGTGATGGGTGCGACGGGAAGTCGCACGTGAGTAGGCGTGCGTACAGGCCGAGAGCGAGAGGTGGTGCAGCGTGGGGCCCAAGAAGAGGGTTTGGATCGGATATGGGCGGAGAAATGGCCGTGGGCCCATGGAAGGGGACACGGATCATGGTCGGCGGCAGTTTCGGACGAGATCGGTGACGTTGGTTTTGACAGGTACGTTCCGGCATGTGGTGTCGCGTGTCTGATCGCGGGTTGCGGTCACGCGACTGGCTTACCCGCCCCGTTAAGACGGGCAAGGATCCTCATTATATAGATCCAACACGACTCGCTTACCCGATCCGATAACAAAGTAGGGATCCTCGTCAACTAGATCCAATATGGATCTCTTCCTGGACCGGATGTCATCTCCATCAGACTCCTGAGTGTGATAGAACTCTCCCATCACATTCTTTGTGGTTTAGGCCACTAAATCATAAAGAGTGAGAGGACTTGGCTGGCTCGGTTTGTTAGCTAGTGTATAAAAGACCTTTGTATCATGAGTATGATGAGCATGATTGTATATTTATGCATCGGGTTATACTAATTTAATTATCTTTAATGTATTATGTGGTTTCGGTCATTGCATCAGTGTTGATAGTCTCGACAAAAATGATGATTAGAAAGATGTCATCAAACAAACGGTGAGGAAATGTACAACAAATGGATTGAGGATCAAGACCCAATCTTCTCCATCTACGTTGGCCATCGATTTCCTCTTCGAAGATATCATCATGAACAATATCAAAAACTCCATCATCATATATTAGAAATATTATCCTTTTGCTAACGGTCTCGAAAAGATATACCTCATTACTATTACTATTGCTAAATAGATCTTTAAAGTTCTTAATTGGACTTATAGTCTTCAAATTTATACATCCTCCCTCTCTCCATATAGGATTCTTCTCTAATTAAGATCAAGGATATCAAGTTTAAAAATATCAGGAGAACCTCTGTCTTGCCAGAAGCTATAAAACTAGTTTACAGCAAGGTTATTCTATGTGAGAGTGTCGAGCACAGTGACATCAACTTGAAATATAATGACAATGATGAGTAAGCCAGAAATGCAACATCTACTTGTGTTCATGTGAATGGCAACTCCAATGACAATGTAAAACCCGACTCCTACATCTAATTTCTTATTGTTGGGTTATGAGACAAAAGTGACAATATAAACTGTTTCATACATAGTTCCTTTCATTTTCCTCTTTTGTCTGTCTCCTTTTTATTCTTTTATGTATAGGCTTTGTATCAGGAAAAAAAGAAAAAAAATTGGAATACCTCAAGTTAGTTTTATTTTTTTTAAATATATAATAAATTTTATTGACATTACAACCATAATGTATAGTTATTAATATTACAAAGATGTGATTCAACTAAGCCATTGGTCACTAGTTGAAACATTGTGTCAATAAGTCTGACTACATTTTAATGATAATAATATTTTAAAAACTATAGATAATTCAAAATTTTATGTACTAATAATATAAAATATCATAATTAATAAAAAATAAAAAAATCTTAAATAAATAAAAATAAAGCATCAATCACATAAAATATGATAAAAATAATATCATCAACTTATATTATAAACATAAACCTTCATGCACATTAAGTAACATATGATAATATATAAAATATTAAAAGATGAATATGAAATTAATTATTTAAGCATGAATATTGACATGGATATAACTTATATATATATGATGATAGTTAGAATAATATTTATTTTATTAACAAAAGTATAATAATAAAAAGAGATGATAATAAGAAACTAACCTTAGAAAAAATAACGATCGATGCCAAAGGGATAAATAATCCATTACTAACAAGAGAAATAAAAAATATAAAAAAATAATAAAAAGAAGAAATAAAAAGAAGAAGTGATAGGTGGGATAGGAGATGAAGAGAATATATTGTGGAGGAAGATGAGGATGTGTAGGGTAAGGCGACAAAAGGAGAGTGATCAAATGATAAATATTATATTGTTTCTCATGGTAATATAGTTTAAAATTAATATAAATACCCTTTAAAATAAATAATTAGAAAGATTCAAGCTAAGAATATTTAAATAATCTTAATTATAATATAAATGTCAACTAGCTTGTTTTGGTTTTTAAGATAACCCATTGAATAAATGAATAACGGGTCGGTTCTAGGTATTTCTAGCCTAACTAATTTTTTCTATAATTCTAACAATTGCCATAAATAGTTGATTAATAAGAAAGAATTAATTTTTTTTTGGGAATTGTTCAAATCTTATTATACTGTTAGCATTAGTAGAATTCGTTTATACTAATAAGTATTTAGAAGTATTAAAATCATCCAATAAAATTTTATATTTTTGAAATTGTACGTTACACTGTGTTAGATGATATCAATGAAAGAAAATTTTTTGGACGTAATACAATTTTTAAAATATTTCAAAAGTTTTAGTTAATTAAAAAATCTTTATTATTGATTATGCAAACAAAAGTGATATATTGATCGTGAGAAATGTGACGTGGTATTCCTAGTTGAAGATTATATATTCTTAAAAATTTCTCTAGACAAAGTATCACGTGATTTAAAATATATGATAAATTAATATTTAGATTTATTGAATCATTCAATATTTTAAAAAGAGATGTAACTTATACACCTGTACTTGGATTCAGAGTCATGATATATTTCATGTTTTCATATTAAAAAATATTCAGATTTTATTTGTATAATTAAACTTACACCATTATTAATTAGAAAGAGATATGTCATACAAGGAATAAAATATTATAGTATGAATTAAGTAATGAAGATTTAATATGATTAATCATTTTTTATGTTGAAGTACAATACATATGTCACGTTTAGAAGAAAAGGATGAAATATCCAAGTTTTATTTAATAATCTAAATGTATATTATAAATGACTAAAATATATAAATATAAACAACTCAAGAAGAAAAAAAAACAAAAGTACCGAAGATCTATTTTATTGGAGAATCATTTTTATGAAAATATTAAATCAAATAAAAAAACTCTTGATTCTGTATTTTTTTAATTTTTGAGTTGTTTTGCCAATAAGAATATCATATAGTACTATAGATTAATTAATTTTGATATTTTATCATGTTGATAAAGTTACATAATTGTTAAATTCACTATTAAAGGAAAAGCAAAAAATAGAAAAAAGAAAAGAAAAATTATCGTGATAAAGAGAATGAAGGGATTAAAGAAAAATTAAAATAAATATGAATTATATGAAAAAGGATATTAGAAAGATCATTTAAGGATTATTGGTTATAATTTTGACTTTTCATATTTAATATGATCTTACATGATATTAGATAATTAATTTATTATAGATTAAAAAATAATATTATATTGAAGGTGACGAAGGAAAAGTAAAAGAATAAAAAAGACAAAACATAGAATATGTGAAGGGTATTTGATTATTTATTTAATTATCATTAGAGTTTTAAATTTTTATATTAATTTGTGCTATCCAAATGATCTAGGAAAAGGAGATATAAGAATTATATATTTTTATTTAATACTTATAATAAAAAAATAATTATACGATGATTTCATTATGTTAACTTATAAACGTAACAACATATATGTTTTCAATCAAGTTATATGTGTGCAATTTATAGACCTATATAGCATACATAATTATTTGTTTGTTTATAAAATATTTTATTATTTAAAAATATTATAAAATGATATGTACGTTAGTAATCAATAATAAATTATGATTCATATTTACCAAATGAAATTGTACTAAGTTTATAGTAGTATTTATTTTAACATTGCATTTGTTCAAATATATTAAAAAATCTATATTATGAGTTTTAATAGTTATATGATTTCGTTAGAATTAAGATGATAATAAACAATTATTCAAACCTTAAATTCTCTAAAATGTGATCTTCAAACATGATAAATAAAACTTATCAAATTGGATATCAATTCAATCCATTATTCCTTTTATCTATAAGGGTTTAAATTTTAAACTCTCGAGATCGTTTATCTATGTCTACCCATTGTTCCCATTCATATTAATGTAATCAAACCCATAACCTTATTAGCTCAATTCTCCTTTTTTTTATATATTGTAAACATATTCAAACTAAATTTTATCCCCGATCTCTAATTATATATCATAGAGAATTTTGAACCACAAACCAAAAACTTAATTAATTAATTATAGTGATATTCTCTTATTTCATTTTCTTTCGTCTCACATACATAAATATTTAAAACATAATATCATCATACACGGTTTATTTTCAATTTGTATATAGCATAAAAGTTAAAGACTTCTATAATTGGAGACACCAACATTGCTTACAAAGTTTACGGAGGCAACACCTTAAGAAGGAAAATGTTGTTTTCACATTGAACATAGTCCAAAAATAGGATAGTGTAATGGCAAATCAAACATGGTACATATCATTCTCAACCGTAAGCATATATAAATAACAAGTGATCTTTAACTTGAACAAAATTGCTTAAAACACATATACAAGTTATTTACATAGAAAAAAACCTCGTGCATGCCCTCACTATAAATATAAATGGTGAGAATACATCGATCAGAAGACTTGTGATAATCAATTTCGAATTCAGTATTATTGTGATTGGCTTGTTATTCTTCATCTTAAGTGGTGTGAGATTAGGCATGGTTGTCAATGTTTACAATATGAATGATTATGGAATGACAAGAGATGGCAAAACTAATAGCACAAAGGTTGCTTATCATGTTTAGTATAGGTTATTACAATAATCAATAGTTTATCTTTATTCCTAAGAATTTGAACATCTTCGTGAACTCGTTTGAGTGGAACAGAGAAGAGACATAAGAAACGTTTTGTAT